GATGAAAGGCAGATGCTAACGGTCAGATAAACACGGCGACTGCGTCGTAATTCGTGTAATTATATTCTCAATTACCAAATCCCGACAGCCCAGCAACTCGGCGGCGATGCTGTCGCTGTGATTAGAACAAACGAAAGCGTTTTCTGATTTTATTTTTTATTTGTGCACTCTCAAAAATTATGTATAATAAGCTTAGAAAAATGTAATCAATTTTCCAAAACTTTAGCATTCCAAAAATTTGATAGAAAATTAGGTGTATATAATAAAAGTAATTGTCTTTTTATTTTAAATGTCTGGTAGTTAATCACAATTAGTTCTTAATATCGTTGGTAAATATGTCTTAAAATCCTTATAAGATATAAATTTGTTTCATTGTTTGTTTTTTGTAAAATAACTTTTAAGAAGCATTGTATTGCTTACTACATAATGACTTTTTGCGTAAAACTACTTATTCTTAGTACAGCGATTGAAATATTTGTTAATTTGATATATTCTGATTAAAATTAGTGTTGTTTGTGTATAGGAATAATGGACAAATGGATACCTTGAATATCTTTAATCCCTTATTTTTTTTTATTTCTTTAAGTTGTCAATCTAAATTGTCAGTGTAACTTCTAACTTGACTTGCGTATTTTATCTGGGTTTTTTAAATGTTTTGACTGGGTTCATCTTTGAAACTCGGGCGGGGCAGAAGCTTAGGATGGTCAGAATGGCCCATTCTGTGCGAGAAATCAAAAGCAGGCCAGCGCACAGGCAAATAAAGCAATGAAAGGCAGATATCTTCTAAATGCTGCTCATTCGTGCTGCCGAGCAAACAAGCCACAGGGGGCGTGGCAAGGGGGCAAAAGACATATGCAAATGGCCAGACTCATGCTCATCCTCATCTCCATCCTCATCCTCATTTTGATCCTGGGCCAACTTAAGTGGTTTCAGCTCGGCAGCGTTGTGATGCCTACGACGATATGATATGATTATGTTAAATGCCCGTTTTGTTTGCTCACTCACTCGCACAGGACGATGGCAGGGAGTTGGTTCGTTGGTTCGTTGGTTCGCTGGTTGGTTGGTCATTGGACAGCGACAGCGACAGCTGCTACCCGTTGTAGTTGTCGTCGTCATGCTCCCTTAACTGATTCCCCATGCCGTGGACAAAAAGGAGCAGCCTCCGTTGGCTTTCGACTGCATTCAGTTCGGTTTCAAGTTGACGATTTCATAATTCAATTTACAAGATAAGGGCCCAGAAACCCACAGCCACGGCCACAGCCACAAAAGCAAAACCAGAACCAGATTCCGTATCCGAATCCGAATCGGTATCGGAATCAGCCAACCAACAAGCGGCCACCGTTTTTTTTTTGGGGCGTGTTGTCAAAAGAAGACAGCGAGCAAAAAGTAAACAAAACATTTGCGGGGGAAAGAAATCACATTGAAAAACCTTTTAATTAATTATGCATCAGCGATTGTGTTTAAATAAAACGAAGCTCAGTCAAATCGGATTCAGAGATTTTTGTGTTTGTTCGCTGGGCGGGGGAAAAACGCCGAGCAGATCACCAGCTGCCAGTGACAAGCGCGCATTACGCATACGCCAGGATGAACCCATGTAGATGAGGCCGATAAGATAAATCTGATAACTCTGTGTTCTCTAACGTATTAACTCAACTATTGTCTACTTTGTTTGGGATTATCGCTTCATATTTAATCAGAAGTGCATTATTAATAAAAATAAAATCCTTAGTAGTTGGGAATCATGTTAGATACCTGGTACATTTTATTATTGTTTTAAATATTCTTCGAAAATGCTAAGTTTAGTTTAAATTGGTTATTACACTTAAAAAAATGTAAATATTTTTGGCATTCACAGCTAAAAAAAAATACTGCTGAACCCCATTAAAAACGCGTAAGTAGCTCGAACTTTGGTTATTTAATTAACAATCTCTGAACTCATTAAAAATAATGTTACATTTTCATTTAAAATTTATTGTAAAATATTATATACAGTAACGAAATTTGAAAATGGCAATGGTATAGCAAAATGTTGTGTTTTTTTTTTTTAAGATTTAATCTACGATCAACCCGTCAAATCTGTAGCATTTCTTCAAGTAGACCCTTTCGCATTTGCCAAATTTCCAGCCGAGCCTTCTGCATTTGTTCGTTGAGTGGAAGCAGGAGTCTTCAATCTGTGCATTTGTCAATGGGTCGTCAGCCATGTCGGCAGCAGCATGACTTCTGACACGATCCGAGGAGGTGAGGAGCTAAAGAGCTATAGAGCTGTATAGAAGGACATAGGGATAGGGAGGATCGGAGGAGGGCAACCCATATGCCCACATTCGATTTGACGAAGGCACAGGGGTTGGGGCGCAAGTTAGAAGCCATCATAATTTAAACATGAGTGTTGGCTGCCACTGCGCACTGGGCTAACAATGATGCGGTTGTGGCTGGCTTTTATGGTGGGTTTCGTGGTTGCTCTGAAGAGGATCGATCCTGAGCTGAGCAACTCAGGAACTGAGGAGCTCTGGTGAGAGGGTCGTCCATTTGCCGGGTCTTATCAGCGACAGCGATGGCAGATTAATCGGGCCCGATAAGAGCCAACCCTGGGATGTGGACACGATGACGGGCACGATGACGAGTGCGGATGATCGACCAGAAGAATGGAGATGGAGATGGAGTGCTGCTGCTGGTGCTGGTGATGATGATGACGGTAGCATAGCTCTCCACCGCTACCACCACTTCGCCCTTTTGGATCGAAGAAGTGCCTGTGTTCCTATGGGCGATTCTTTGTTGTACGATTTTATTTTGTTGTTGTTTCATATTCTCATTTTTCGGCGTTATCCCGGCATTTTCGGTTGGACCTGGGTGAAAAGGTAAAGGTGTGCCTGGGTTATGCGAAATATGCGTGGCGTTGTCGATCGCCTGCGATCGGTTTTGGTTCGAGGGATCTGCACTGCCAATGGCCCAAAGTGGTTTAGATTAAAGGGTTTAGTTCTCTGTCTTGTGTTATTTTATTTTGGGGCGTTATTTGCTCAGCGAGACGTGCGACTGCTTTTGACTTGGGCTTTGGGCTTCGGGCTTTGGGCTCTGGCTTTTCGACCGCAGGAAGATCGATCTGGCCGATCGGTCGGTGCACCTCATTGACCTCTCTCCATCTTCGTCCCCAAACCCTTTCATCTTGGCATTTCTGTTGTTGTGCCAGCTGAACATCTGTCGATCTTGTTTGGCGATAATTTGAATTGAGTTTTCTCTCCAACTTGGCCAGCCTTCACATGTGTAAAAAGTTCAGAGCATTGTCCAAGTTTGGAGTGGCGGAGTTAAGGGGTAAGGCCGGGAGGCGTGTTAATAACAGAGCTCATCCTCGTCAAATGGAGGCACACACAAGAATGACACCGGATCTAGGCAAAGGGCAAAACACTCGGAAAAAAAAAACAAAACAAATTATATATAAATATATATAACCACAAATTGCTGTCTTTATGGGGGTATAAAACAATACATTAATTATAAATAGGTAGACATTTTAGTAACGTATTTATTTTAATATACATTTAATTTAGAAGGCACTTTAATATACATACAATTTCTAATACATTTTATAAATATTTAGCTAAAAAAAATACACTTTTAGGTATTAAAATAAACCAATAATGTTAAAATCAAATAGAATGTTGATTTCTAAATTTGTATTAAATAACTATATTTAGTGAATAAGCAGTTAAATTAAAATCAAATATCTAAGCCACATAAATCTTTAACTGTATTTGTTAGAAACTTTTATGTGGGCGTACGTGTATACCCATACGAACTTCCCCAGAACGTGTCACCTGAAAAATGGAATGGGTTAAGGTAAGAGGAGTGCAATGGAGAGGTGGGGTTAACCAGGTGAAGGAGGTGGAGGAGGACCAGGGTCCCAGAGCTCCAGCCAATCCGCCGAGCACGTTCAAGTCGTTTTCTCGCAATTAACGCGAAATTCTACGAATTGTTTAATTAGAACTCCAGTTTCAGTTCTCAGTTTTCAGGTTCCATCTTCGGGCTTTGCCAGTTCTGTGTGGACTCTGCAGCCTCTGCACGTTTGTGCGAGTATCTCGTGGTTCTTGTTGTTTGCGGCTGCATAATCTTTTTTGTAAACATGAAACTCGCGCCATTATATCGAAGGCAACGTTTGCCAGCCAACTTGAGAGTGGAATGGTATGGTATGGTATGGCATGGTATGGCCAAGGTATGGGGAGATCTTGGCCAAAAAGACCTGGCTGCTTTTTACATGTTCCTCTGCCTGCCCTGCGCCGTGTGGCAACGATTTTAAATTTAAAATCTGTGAATTTGAAGCAGTTTATCGAGACTGCAGCAACTGCGAACTCTGCCTTCTTAGCTTAGGTGTTGTTGCTGTTGTGCCTGATTCGGCCGGCCGATTAAATCATTAAATATTCCGATTGTGTAGCGTTATAATGAAATGTTTTTAACGCTTGTCTGATTTGGAATTATGCAGGGAATTAAAGGATCTCTCCCTCTGGCTGCCTTTTATTTGCTGAGCAAAGGAACTCCATTTTATGTGGAACATGCTGGTCGGTTGTCCGCGATAAGCAGAGATGTTCCAGGCATTTGATGTATTTACTGGGTATTAATACCAGTCCCTTGGCTGTCTACGTTCTTTTATATCAACTTTAGCCACTAACAGGTTTCTTAGTTTCTGCATTACATATATATTTAATTGTTCTTTCAATCAGAATTCAAAATTATCTAAGCGTTTCGGAGCAAATTGGCTAACTAAACTACTTTTAAAGTGTCTACTTTACTCTACTTTATTTAAACAAAAATATTTATATTAATGCGAATTAATACAAACCTGAGTGACAAGCTTCCAGTAGTCGAATATTTTAAGTCAGTTTTTTTTATTTGTTTGAATGCGCGCCAATATATCGGATACAAAGGCCAAATGACTTGTATCTGACTAATCGATGTTCTGTATACAATTTCTCTGGTAAAACAGCTGATTAGTACCACCTCTATTTCGTTTGTTTAATCGCAGAATTATTGACCCCATCAGCTTATGCCGGTCACACAAAATAAAGATTCAAAAGTTATACTAACGAGTTCTTAATAGGAGGTACTTAAAAGTAAGGAGAAGTTTTCATGATCTAAACTACATGTTGTTTTCGTATTTTAGCTGAAACCTAAAAAAACCACACTGCCTTTCAACGGATAATCGTCAACTTTTAAAAATAGACTATGTTTATACTTTTTCTGCTTCTCGTTTTCGCAATCTCTGTTTCGGGAAATGATGATTTTTTCCCGAAAGATTTTGGAAATGAGGTCAGGAACTTTCAACCACTGGGTATAAATATGAAAGTCGATCAGAAATTACTCTCAGTTATTCTTGAACATAAGCTTAGATCGAAGCGAGAACTTAAGGAGGATGGCAAAATCGACTCCAATCACCAACATAATCCCCAGGACAATCCAGAAACCAGTCCGAAAAACAATCCCGAAACCAGTCTACAACCCAATACAAAACACGATCCCAAACAAGATCCTCAATCCGAACTCGTGCCAAAAAAGAAAATGCACGTGTGGACCATCTACGATACCCTTATGGTAATCTTCCTGATACTGGTGCTGATATATGTGAGAAGGAAACTATATAATAAGGAAGGGGACAACTGCTGCTTTGGATGCAAATGGGGGCGACTGAGAAATGAAACCCCCGAGGTCAGGACCGAAATTCTTAACCAGCAAGAGACGACAAACTATCTTTAAGATTCGTAATCTAATTTTAAGTCAGAATATTATTACTTATGTTCTTTTTTCAATGAAATATGTTTGTGTTACCTATTAAAATAAAAATGGAAAAATAAATTGAATATTGATTATTTAAATATAAAAAAATATATTTTTTAAATAAGTAGCATATTAAATAACATTATTTAATATTAAAACGTTCGAACTATTGTGAAAATTCGTTGACTTAAAGTGGGTCCAAATTTATATAAATTACTTAAATTTCAAAATTTAAATTAAATATTTCAGAATTCTAAGTCTGTTCAAAAATAGTTATATTAAGTACTATAAAAAATTTAAAATGTCAGCTATGGATGGAAATCTAGGCGATAAATATTTAAATTGATTTTGAAATATTTGAAGTGTTATTTTTATCAACTAAACTAGGGAATCATATGTAATAAATAAATAAAAAAAATTTTTAATTTATATTCACACATTTAATGTAGAAATCTGTCAAGCTATGAATAAGACAAATTATAGATCTCAAATAAGCAAATCCAAAATAATGGTGTGTTTCTAAACGAACTTGGTCCACCCAGATCGTTGAGTCTGGATTTGTGTTATCGCTGGCAGCATGCTGGGAAAGCTTTACTTTGTTGTCATCAGCAAAGCTTCCCGAGGGCTTTACATCATCCACTATCAGCAGTGGGTAACGCTCCACTCTTCCCGCTGATCCAAAAATCCAGATGATAAGCAAGTGCTGCCGATGCCGATGCCGATGTCGCTCTGCTCTGACTTCAGTGCATTATTTGCAGTCTGACAAAGCGCGAGTAAAGTGAAATAGTGAAAATATTATGAATTTATACGTGTATATATTACTTGGATTTTGCGGCTTGGAGTTGGGCGAAACACTGGGCGTTTACGATGCCACTGGACGCTTGAATCTGAGTGCCAGTTGTCCGGACTCCTTCTGCAGTTTGAGCGATCGACGAGTGGCCTACTCGGCCAGTGCGGCCCTTGGACTCCGGGAATTACATTTGACGAACTGCAGCAGACAGTCGATCACTTGGTTGGTCCTGAACTTAACGCCAGGTCTGCGGACACTGGTCATCCGGAACTGTGCCTCCTATCACATCAGTAAAGAGAGTCTAAGGCCAGTGGGCAATCTCACCTCGCTGCAGATGCAGCGCACAAGTCTCGGTGTTCTCCGGGATGAGGTCTTCACCACAGTGCCACGTCTGGAGATCCTTGAACTGGGTCAAAACATCATACACACCGTGCACATAGGAGCCTTCAAGGGTTTGGCCAGGCTACGCTTACTGGGCCTGCAGGGCAATGGCATTCAAGAGATCCTCCCCAGAACCTTTGATCCGCTGGCGGAGCTAGTGCACCTAGACTTGAGCCACAATCAGCTTACCCACTTGCCAAAAGATATCTTTGCCAAGAATGGAAAAATACAAACCCTGCTGCTGAATGGCAACCAACTGAGGACCCTACTCCCGGATATTCTCAGCTCCTTGCCCAATCTTCATCTGCTCGACTTGGGCCATGCTGGCGAACTGGAAATCCTAACACTGGACATCCACAACATTCAGAGCTTGATTTTGGAGGGCAGTGGGCTCACCACTTTAGTGATCAACGGAGCACTTATCAAACTTCAGGCGGGCAACAATGAGCTGAGTAATCTGCATGTTGGAAATAAAAGCAGTGTTATTGAGTTGGATCTGCATGGCAATTTGCTAAATGGCAATGATACTGCTGGGTTTCTCAGAGGCATGTGGAATCTGCAGAGACTGGATCTGTCCAAGAATGTGATTGAATCTTTGCCAATCTATGGTGGCTATTCGGAAGATCCCAATGCCCAGGAGCTGTTCCTTTTGCCCAGCTTAAAGTATCTGAATTTGGCCAATAATCGATTGGTAAGCCTGCCCCCGGATTCGCCCATCTTCTCAGCCCGTCTCAACTATTTGGACCTTTCCCATAATCTGTTGTTAAGCCTGGATGTCGAGATATTGAGGGGTCTGCCAGTTCTGGAAGCCCTGTTTATCGAGGGGAATCGTCTGAATACCTTCGACTACCAGGTCTTCCATCAGCAGCACGAAGATCTCAAGGAGCTGGGCCTGCATGACAATGCCTGGGCTCCTGGCTTATATCGCAAGATGTTCGTGTACCTCAACGATCGAGGAGTTCACTTGCAGGCGAGGAGCCAAAATAGGCCGGGGATGAATAGTAGTCAGGTGGATATCGACTGGCCACCGACTGGAGGTCAGCCGGTGGCCCAGAAATTGGATCCACCGGGAGTGTCTGGCATACATCCCTACTGGACCCTCAAGGACATCCTGGCTTTTGTCACCCTGCTGGTGGTGCTGCTCATTCTGCTGATGAATCTCTACCACATCCTGCAGGAAGAGGGCTGTCTGCGGCGGATTCGCCATTGGAGAAGGTCCCACATCGTCGGTGGAGGCACCACATCGTCGAGGAGCAGTGGGCGACGCCTCGACGAGCAGGACTCCGAAGTATGAGCCTGGTCAACTCTTTGGCTTACTCGCTTATCCTTATCCTATCCGTTTCTCAAAACAGCACAGCTCCAGCGAATAGACGGGACATGTAGCCATTCTGCTCTGCAAGCCAAATAAACGCCAATTCGATGTCAATTTAGCGCTAGTATTTTCATTTTTCCATACCGTGTTGTGGCTATATCTGTTGTTGCTGACTTGTTTGCTACCCTGTATATATGAGTATGGTGTAAGTTTGCTGTAACTAAATACAATTGATAAATGAAAAGAATGTAGACACTATTTTAATAAACAAAATAAGCACTATTTGCCCATGTATAAAACAGCTATAATAGACCAACTCTTTGTTAAACAAAATAAGTAATATAAGAGTTTAACTTCCTATACATTTTTAAAAACTTGTAAAGAAATCAGCCTTATAATCAGGATTATCAAAAACAATATATACATATGAGATTAGACCTTTGACTTTCAAGATTTTAAATATGTAAGTTTATGCCATTTGAAAGATTTGTATAGATTATTTATATTCCGCATTTTTCATTAATTTAATTAGCAACGATTGTTTATCAAAGCTTTGTGTTTACAAAATAAAATTATTTTCTAGCAGCTACATTATAAAGAGGGTACACCCAATGTCGTGTCTCCCATTAAACAAGATCTATATATTTTGCATATGAAATCTAAGCAGCGAGGAGACAGAAACAATGTCCATCCGAGAGTGCAGAAAGTGTAGTGAGGAAAAGAGTAAAGTAAAATACACTAAAATTATGAATAAGAATACAATTTTATGTAAAAAAAAAAATTGTTATTAAATTAAATGTGATTTAATCAATAATTTAAAGTTTAATCACTGTGGTCGGCTGTCACGTAGTGACGACTAGCACCGAAAAGCGTGCGTAAGGATACTATATAGTTATCTTAAATATTTGTAAAAATAAATGGTTAAAGAACAATCTCCAGAAAATCAACTAAGTTTAAAAATAGGAGCTAAGAATATTAATATTAAAAAAAAAACTCAAACTTTGTTAATTCCACTAAGATATACAGCTTTGTTTCTAGTTGAAAGCCCTTATTTGTTCAGCTTTTTCTTTCCGTGTAGAGATGAGCACACCGGACTAGCCGAACAAGATGCACTTACAAGATTCGAACAAAATACGAATTTAATTCAAAATAATTGCACGGCATGCACAGGAGGACATGTGGATGTGGCTCTTTGGGCCAAGACTAGTTAAGACTCGGCCTGGAAGTTGGCCAAAATGGGGGGTTGGGGGTATTGAAGGATTGGGGGGAAATTGTGGACCTGGTTGAACATGGACTTTTCCGCCTTCGTTGCTGGCACTTCTTGCATGTTTCCTTCGAGGCCGTGGATTTGTGGCGTTTGCATTTGCGTAGACCTCGCCACAAGCTTACATACATATATCTACATATATATATTCAGGTATTATAAGGTTGACTTGCCCCGCCCCCAGCCCCTTTAAAGCCGAGGGTATACCTATCAACATGTTTTGGGTGGAAATTTTGCCCGTGTTTATGTTTGGGGGTCTCTCCTCGCTGGATTTTGATAGGGCATCGCAATTTCTGAGAAATTGTATTTTGATTTATTTATAATGTTGCAGCGACATGCACATGCACATTGTTGTTGCATTTGCGATCGTTGTTGTTATACTATATGGCTTGTTGTTGTTGTTGCTGTTGGTTTTAGTGGGCATGCGAATCAAATCATTTTGATTAAATTAGAAATATGCAAATTATGTGCAGCTCATTAATTATGCGCCAGCAGATGATTTGGTTAAGGCGATAAGAGAACGAAAGAGACAGGGAGATGGTGGTTGAAAGAGACAGGGAGTTGGGTAGTGAGAGGAATAGGGATAGGGATAGGGCGAAGAAGCATCATCATCGATTGAGTGCGTCACAAATCGCCCACAAAACGCGCGCAAATCGCTTGGCAATTAAATAACTTCACACCGCGCGCTAAGTGGGCGTGGCCGGGTACGCCCACACCCGCCCGAAAATTTCGCATTTGAAAATGTAAAGCGCACGCGGCTTTTCTGTGAAAAATATTTCAACGATTTGTAAAAAATCGAAAGGCAATAAATGCATTTTTCTCCCTCAATTCTCTGGTTTCGAAAGGGGTGTGAACTTGGGTATATTGGGTTAATGGGATTCTGGTTTCACAGATATCAAAAAGGAAATGGCAACTGCGATTGGGTTATATTAAAAATTAATTTACACATCTGTGAAAAAAAATCACATTGTTACCAATTATGAAAGAAACAGCTGCTAATGACCTAATTTTAAATTCATTTTTATTAATAAAAGGGCATATAATGTTATAATCCAGAATCATAAATACCTACCCTATGAAATTTGTGTTTTGGGAATTTATTTTGGTTTAATTTCATCACAGCACATAACAATAAAAGGCTTAGAAGTTTGTGGCTTAAACCTTATGTTTTTGTATTTAATTTATTTCTACGGTTTTAATGATTTTTATATTTTTGAATTTTTAAAAACAAA